TCTCTCTCTCTCTCTCTCTCTCTCTCTCTCTCTCTCTCTCTCTCTCTGTATCTTGCACTCACACACACACAGGAGATGGGGGAAATTTTAAAAAATCTTTAATAAATTAGTTTTTGAACTGCTCCCAAGCTAAACAGCTCCCTGGAAGCCAGAGTGACGACCTTCCCTAGGGAAGGAAGCTGGCGCCTGCGCAGCACTTACCGGAAGCTGGCGCCTGCGCAGCACTTACCGTCTGGTAGGTGATAACAAGCTGCATCACGGGCAGTGCGTAAAACACGGCGATGGTGATGATGTTCCTGCGACAGAATGAACCATACACGGTGACCCCAGGATAACACTGGACTCTGCTCAGCTTGTCCACCTTACAACTCCACACTTAGCTTGTAAAAGCAACAGAAGCTGGGGGTATGGCTCCTGATTCTGAAGTCTGCCTGTCCTTTCCTGTGCATGTGAACGTTTGGTAGACAGGATTTGGACCAAAGTGGACACAGGGAAGCAAATAAAACTTACCTGGGTTACTGCCATTGGTTTGGTTATAGCAAAGAATCCTTGCACTGTTAACTAAAATCATCGAATCATTCATTTATTTAATTTATTGGAGACGGAGTCTTGCTGTGTAACCCTGACTGGCCTAGAACTTGCTATTTGACAAAGCTGGTCTTGAACCCACGGTGATTTCAAGAGCTGTGGTTCTGAACAAGCCCCCATGCGGACCTGAAATCAGTATTTTAAACTAACTATTGGCACTCAAGAAGCTAAAGTTCTTCCTCCTCCTCCTTCCTTCTTCTTTGTATAATCATTTGTAAAACAAAATAAAATCTACTTCTTATCTAACCATACCATCTATACAAATCATACCAAACACACATTGTTAGACTAAATATGGTTAGAGTGCAAGGAATCAGTGAGGAATAACTTGTGGGGGCTCTTGTAGACCAGGCTAGCCTCGAACTCACAGAGATCCGCCTGCCTCTGCCTTCTCAGGGCTGGGATTAAAAGTGTGTGCCACCACCCGGCTTGGTGGAGACTCTTAAATAACACTTAGTTCCAAAACATAGCTCAGCTATGAAATTTCATTTGGCTCTCTGACTTCATTCTAATGTCTGCTTCCAGAAGTAGGAGGATTCTCCAGAAAGTAAAAAGGTGTGTGTGTGTGTGTGTGTGTGTGTGTGTGTGTGTGTGTGTGTGAGAGAGAGAGAGAGAGAGAGAGACAAAAGACCACAGTTTAGAGCTTTCTAAGCAGAGGGAAGCCCCTCTGTAGGCAGCTCAGCCTCTTGACTGGGCAGAAGGACATGCCATGAGTGTGGCCACATTGCAGGTCTTTTTTGTTACAAGTTGGAGGTGTCGTCATCCACAGCAAGCCTTACTAAACACTAACTCCTCACGATAGAAGTGGTAATAGCTTTTACAAGGAAAAACTTAAATTTAAAGAATGCAGAGGCCGAGCCTGTAGCTCAGTGGTAGAGGACTCGCCTTCCCCAGTAAGTGTGGGCCTGGGTTTGATCTCTAGCACTGTCGTACACACGGGCATCAAAACAAACGGATTTAAGTAATTCAATATTTTTTAAGGAAACCAGGATCCCACTGGTCATCTACTTACCAAAAATAAATCTTCGACTTTTTGCTGACAATTCTCCGATCCTTCCTGGACAGATCCGACAGGTACAGGAATATCTAAGACATCAACAGGAAGAGAGTGCAGAGTTGAGCTTGGCTTTTCTTGTATAGAACACAGGGAGAACCTTAGAAAGTTCAGTGTAGCCCCCTGGGGATTAACATTATTCATCAAGATGTTTCCTTTGGTTTTGCTTTTCTCCAGATACTGCAATAAAAACACTCTGTAGGCCCATATTTCTATATGGTGGCTGCCAGGTGCTAAAGCCATAGGCCCCATCTGAGGTGGTCACATAGCCCTGCAGACAGGCTGTCACTGCCTAACAAAAGGTCAGGATGTTTGTTGCTTCATTCTTTGTAATTTGGAGGATGCCTTATAGAGATGCTGATTCAAGCCTACGTGACAGCTAGCACACACAGCAGACAGGTAGATGGAGACGTGACAAAATGCCATTCACCTGGTTGCCGAGGAGACAAACTGGTGGTTTCCCCCCCCCCCCCCCCCCGCTCAGTTTATGTGTTGGTATAAAAGCTGCTTGGAGAATAAACGCGGGGAGATCTTCAGGAGAGAAGCCTGAGATGCCCTTCCATGATGACCGTGTAAGCTGTTCTGATTATTCCTTGCCTCTTCATACCAGTCCAGTTAGGGAAAATAGTAATCTATGTTGGGGCCCACAGGCTCTAACAACACTCCTATTCTTGGCACACCGAGGGTCCGGCTGCTGCAGGAATCCTACCTATCAGAAGTACTGGCGCTCAGCTTTCAGATCTGCTCACTCTGCCATTCCTGAATTGCATATGTTTGAAACTCTGTGATTTCTGGCTCATACCTTCTGGCAGGTAAAGTACAATATATTAAACATAGGCTGGAAAGAAATTGGCTTTGCTCTCACGTGTGGTGTGCACAGAAATGAGGACAGGTACTAGAGCAGCCCTGGGGCAAATCCCAGTCTCCATATGGCTGGGTCCCTGTTCACCAACACTCGGGTGCTGAGGCTGTGGAAGGCCCTGTTCTGCTTCGTCTGACGAAGAGGCGATTGCCTTGGGCTCTCGCTATGTTTCACCTAAATCCTTCAGAAGGTTTGACCTCCCTTCAAAGGAAAAAATATTAAGGAAACCGAGGCACTGATGGCGTTTACTTCACTACCAAACCTTCTTCCATTTCAACAACTACGGCCAGGGAGCCTTGGTACCTTGGTCCGGATGATGTTTTTGTCGCTTTCAATGTCTGGCATGGTGTCGAAGTCACTCTCCTCCACGGAGCTGTCCGTGTCTGAGTGGCACGGCTGCCCGCCATCGGAGGGAGACATCTGTCTTCCGGGACTGGAACTCGACTCATCTGAAACAGAAAACTCTCTTAATCCGAGAACTGCCTATGCAGTCCCTTCCTCTGCAGAAAGCGCAGTCCTTAGTCCGGAAAATCCCGAGTTGGTCCCAATGAACTCTTTGCCAACAGGACAGGCCGCCCCTCTGCTGCCTTCTAGCGCGGCCTCCATTCTCTCTTTCCTCCCATTTCAGACCTGATGTGTCTATTCTAGGGCTGACTACAAAGAACAGCATGGCATCTGCTCATAGCATTGTGCTTGTGGTTCATGTTTCATCTTTTAAGGTATGAACACAGATGTATAAGGACACACATACAGGGTTATAGATAGCTTCTATCATGCATGTGGGTGAACACATACACATCCAACTGCTATACACTTTTCGCAGACTATTTACCGAGAGAAATCCCCCACATGGCATTTCTATCGTTACGTAACGAAAACAACATTTTCAGGAGGGACTCTTCTGTTCTCAGGAATGTTCTAGAGCAGATGGGCTCTGTGCAGCTCGAGTGCATGGGCTGAACCTACCTTCCGCTTTATTCCTTCTGTTCAGATGGTTTAAAAAAAAATCCTGTTTTAACAGGACTAAAAATAAGCAGCCTGCACTGAGCCTACATGCTCAGAGTTCCAGAACAACGGAGCAGTGCGACAGGCCCTCTGGGAGGCTGTTGAAGACACACCATTCGTGGCAGGGGCAGGCAGCCCAGGCACTGCTGCCTTCCAAGGCAGGTGTGGAGGGGTGGTCTGGTTCCCTTTAGTCTGCTTCACGACATCTAGGCTTTGCCCAGTGAACAACTGAGTGGCCCTGAGTAGACTCGGTGTGAATTTAATCAAGACTGTTCGGTTCTAGCTATGCTGACTCGCAGCAACTGCTTTAGTCTGCTAACGCCCTACTCCACTGACACCTGAGAAGGAAGTGACTCGGTCAGTGACAGTGGCTGGCTGTGTCGTGTCCTTTCAAGTCCTAGACTCAAGGGTAGAGGACGTTCTGTGCAGGCCTGAGGATCTGAGTATGATCCCACATCCCACAGAGTAGCAGAAGAGAGTGAGTTAGAAGGGTCTCTGACCTCTCCACTCATGTGCACCCGCACACACGACGGACACATGCACACACTACAGATAAACAAATAAGAGTTTCAGTGCCCAAGGGACGGGTGAGACGGCTCAGTGGGTAACAGGTGCCTGCTGCCACACCCACTGATCTGAGTTCAGTCTCTGGGGCCCACATGGTAGAAGGACAGAACCAAACACCGCAAGTTGTCCTGTGATCCCCAATATGCACAGCAGCACATGCTCCGTCCCCAAAACAAAGAAATAAAAGTGTAATAAAAAAGTTAAGTCCCAAGGGAGCCTTAGGCGTTGATGGCAACCACTGTAGTGAGTTCTGCTCAAGTATAGCAGATCCAAGAAGCAGAACAATAGAACCTAGAGAGGACTGGAAGGAACTTCCCAGGATACCCAGCCAGTACGTCTTTTAGATGTAAGAGCGGTTTCATCGGGCTGTTCCTCCGTGGGCTGGTTTGCTCATGCTCACAATGATCAGTGGCTAGAGAACCCAGTGCGCTAATCTCTGTAGAATAAGGACAGAGTTCTACACAAGGACTCATTGTAGGAAGTACCGATTGCCCCATAGTTGCTCCCTTCCGGTGTGCTGGCAGTGATGGGATGTGACACAGCCATATTTCCTGCAGCAGGAAACAAAAGAGAGAGAGAGATGGTTTAGTCTCAGCTGCTGAAGTAAAACCACACAACCTGAAGTAGGCGAATCACTAAGCAGCCATCTTTAAATTCGATTTTCTTCCCACTTTAATGTGGGAAATCATCACTGTGGGTTCACAGATCAGATACAGCCTGCCACCACTTTCTGTATGGTCCATAAAAGAAGACTTGTTTTAAAATCTCTTAGTTTGTGGAGAAAATTCAAAGGAACTATAATATCTCATGGCATGTAAAGCTTGCACAAAATTGAAATTTCAATATTCAAGAACAGAGTTGGATCGAAACATAGCCACCCTCATTTCGGTACAGATAGACTTTGGTTCTGCAGTGACATGTTTGGGTAGTTACAGCTTAGATCATCTGTCCCCAAATGTCTTACATGTGAACATTTGACTCTACAGAAGACAAGTTCACTTCGCAGTACAGCAGAGTTGTAGGAGCAAAGGAGTGTGGGTCTAGAATCACCGTGGCAAGTGCCGAAGAGACACAGCCACAGTCGTTTGGGGTTTATTTAAAGCATCCTAACTACAGGTAAGAAGGACATCACACCACTCACTAGAGCCAAGAGTGATGAGCACAGCAGTTGACAGCGTGGGAGAAGCCCACGTTATTTTGAGGGCTCTCAAGAAGGTCGATTAGGTCCATCTGCCGCTGACGGGTGGTTGACAGATTAAAGCAGACCCTAACATTCTCAGTGAAGCCCAGGGCTCCTGGTAACAAGGAGAGTGGCCCCCTGTCTCTGAGAGTCCAGGGGTGCCTCAGGAGTCACCCCACCACATGTAACAGGAAAGTCCCTGCAGTCTGCTCTGTGACTACCAGGAAAAGTGTTATTCCTTACGGTTAATCCGTTTCTGAGACTTAGGAAAAATGGGCTGAGAGCAGAGACTGCAAATTAGCAGCCAGCCAGGCAGCTTCTCTGACCTAGGGCCACAGGGTCTGCTGGAGCCAAACTCATCCCGGGAATCCGAGACAACATTCCTTCCCTGCCCTCGGAACTTTGCCGAGAACTTAGATATTGAACGGTTGGTGGGAGTTTTGAGCAGCCCCTCTTGCTGAGAGTTGCTCTCATCAGTCACAAGACTGACACAAGGGCTCAGAGTGACTCATTCTTTTTCTCTCGCTGCCTCCCTCCCTCCTTTTCCCTTCTATTTCAATATGATTTGGGGACGTGGATCCAGGCCCTTTCATGTTTCATGCAATCTCTCTACCACTTAGCCACATCCCTGGGGAACTCAGCGGTGTCTTACGCTGTGGTAGGGAAGTACTTTCAGTGAATGTACCTAATATTCGGAAACATCTGTGTGCATATATCTCAGTGACTTTACTGAAGACGTCATTTGTCATTACACAAAAGCAACAATGTGCCACCCACGTAAAAAAGATGCGAATGCTCTGAGCACTTCCTGGTCACAGTCAACTTTCCGCCTCCCACTTTCAGACTTTGCTCCACTGATGGACTCTCAAAAAGTCATAGCTTTTGAGGTCAACTCGCCAGGCTTCATTACATGTTTTTTATTTTTAAACTCATGGTGCCCCTATTGATTTCCGCCAGAGAAAAAAAACTAAGTGCCAATATATGTAAAGATTTTCAGACAGGCGACAAATCTGCCAGCCTGGGAGATTGATTTTTCTTTCTCCCTTCAGTGAACGAGCTAAGGGCTGCCTCAGCCGGTCTGTGAGACTTGGAGCTGATGTAGCGTTCTTGCCTGGCCAGGGTGTTTCCAGGGCCTGCAGGATGTAGACTCTGACGTTCAGCAAACATGCTCCCTGGCATTGTTTCTGGGCTTGATATATTTATTATTTAGAGAGCTCAGGTCTCTGTACTTCCTTGGGTTCACTTAAGAGTACACAGCATGATGTCAACATCATGCATGCTTTATGCCCAAGTTCAAAGCCGAGAAACAATTCTCTTTAGACACATTGTATTGTATGGGGGCCTTGCATGTGATAGGCAAACACTCTATCACTGAGCTATATTACCAACATAGCTTCAGACTCTTGAATGTTAAGAATCAAATTTGGCTGTCTCCTTCTCACTTGGGTCAGTTCTGGCTTCACTATAAAGCAGAGTTTGGCTGCGGTTCCTGCTCCTGTTGACCACAAGCACTGCTGTTACCAGAACCACCACCACTCCTGGTGGCCTCATTGCTGTGGCAGATGCTGCCATGACTCCATGCTGACTTTTCAACAGCCCTAAGAGGTAAGGGCTACTATTACCACCATTTTAAAGATGATAAAATAGAGGTGCTGAGAGATCAAGTAGCTTCCCTAGCCAGCCAGAAAATGGACAGGGAGCAGCCCGTTGAGCTGCAGCTACTAAAATTCACCTTCTTTTTGCAAAATTTATTTTGTTGTATATAATTAAGAGGATAACACATTTATATATCTATAAGTGTGTTTGTGTGTGTATGTGCGTACACACACACAGCAAAATAATGACCACATGCTGGCAAAGTGTCCAGCTTCCCAGCGAGTGGACAGTACAACACGAGAAGTCTCATGGGATTTCTTCCGCTTTGCGAACCTGCTTCTAGCATTTGCTCCGAGCCCAGCCCTCGGAGTCTTTCCTGTTGCTTTGAGCCTCTCACAGATAGTTGGTCTTGCTGATGGGAGAGAAAGACATTTCTGTAGCCTCACTTCCCCCCAAGGTTCTGCCCCTGAGTGTCCTCTGGTAGCACACGCCTCTCTGGCTCTCTCCTGACAGATCTCACCAGGCTCAGCTCCAGAAGCCTGAAGGTCACGGGACAAGGGCGGTGTTGCCAGCTCTGCCTGGAGCTTCTCAGCTCTCTTCCTGCTTCATAGCCCTCTGTGGCAAGCATACCTGTTTTCTACTTCCTGAATGGATGAAAACACCTGTTTTCTTTTATTTAAAAATATTTTATTTATTATGTATATAGTATTATTCTGCCTGCATGTGTATCTGCATGTCAGAAGAGGGCACCAAATCTCATTACAGATGGTTGTAAACCACTATGTGGTTGTTGGGAATTGAACTCAGGACCTTTGGAAGAGCAGGCAATGCTCTTAACCTCTGAGCCATCTCTCCAGCCCCCAAAACACCTGTTTTCTTTGGGTGTCCCCAACCTGAGGTCCGCGGCTGATGTACGCACATTGGTGACTCTCCAGTTTTACCCCAGGACGATATCTGGCTGTGGGTGACCAAGACACTTGTAGTTATCCCAAGGAGGAAGTGTACTTTAATCCAACAGTGTATAGAACATCCCAAACAACAAAGAATTATGAATCTTATAATGTCAATAATGTTGGTGTTGAGAAAAATTATGGTCTGAGAGAGAGAGGACTTAGTAATAATTCTAAAACTACATTTACTTGGCCCCCCTCTTTTGAGAGAAAGTCTCATGCATCCTGGGCTGGTCTTGAATTCACTATGTACTTCAAAGGATGATCTGGAAGACTTCTGATCCCCCGCCTCCACCTCCTAAGTGCTAGGATTACAGGCATGCCCAACTCAACCAGTTTATATGGTGCTGGGGGTTTAGCCCAGGGCTTAGGGGAAGATAGGGTGGTACTCTGCCACATGAGCTACACCCCAGCCATGCAACTATCGCTATATAGTGTCTTATTTATTTGACAATAAGGATACAGCTGGGCGGTGGTGGCGCACGCCTTTAATCCCAGCACTTGGAAGGCAGAGGCAAGTGGATCTCTGTGAGTTTGAGGCCAGCCTGGTCTACAAGAGCTAGTTCTAGGACAGGCTCCAAAGCCACAGAGAAACCCTGTCTCAAAAGAAAATAAATAAATAAATAAATAAACAAACAAACAATAAGGATATGATACACTCTACACCAGGCGATCATGAGAAGAAGTTGGGGGGGGTCTTCTGACATTGCCACAAAGAATATGAGCCTTGACCTGTCTCCCCCATTATCCCTCAGTGTAAAGGAAAGCGTTCAGGGGCTGACAGGGAAACAGATGCCCCTCGACCGAAGAATGGATAAGGAAAATGTGGTACATTTACACAATGGAGTATTACACAGCAGAAAAAATAACAACATCTTGAATTTTGCAGGCAAATGGACGGAGCTAGAAAACATCATTTTGAGTGAGGTAACCCAGACCCAGAAAGACAATTATCACATGTACTCACTCATAAGTGGTTTTTAAACATAAAGCAAAGAAAACCAGCCTACAATTCATCATCTCAGAGAACCTAGACAACAATGAGGACCCTAAGAGAGACTTACATAGATCTAATCTACATGGGAAGTAGAAAAAGACAAGATCTTCTGAGTAAATTGGGAGCATGGGGACCTTGGGAGAGGGTTGAAGGGGAGGGAAGAGGCAGAGGGAAAGCAGAGAAAAATGTAGAGCTTAATAGAACTCAATAAAAAATAAAGTATCACAGCCATGGACCAAAAAGAAGAAGGAGGAGGAAAAGGAGAAAGAGGAGGAGGAAGAAGAAGAAGAAGAAGGAGAAGGAGGAGGAGGAGAAGAAGAAGGAGGAGGAGGAGGAGGAGGAGAAGAAGGAGAAGAAGGAGAAGGAGAAGGAGAAGGAGAAGAAGAAGAAGAAGAAGAAGAAGAAGAAGAAGAAGAAGAAGAAGAAGAAGAAGAAGAAGAAGAAGAAGAAGAAAGCACCACACTCCCTCCACCCTGGAATCTCCCCTCCCTGGATTTGCAGACTGAGGATCCTCTGGAATAGAAGTACATCCTGCGGTGACCACCATTGCTGTGTGGATCCATGTGAACAGATGGATACACCTTCATCACTGGTGTCTGTCAACTGAAGGGTGCTTCTGCTTCTCAGCTGTCTGCAGTGTGCCTGATTTTCAACAACGATCTGGTTCAGGCCTGAGCCCCACTGATGTATGTTTCACTGTTTAAGGGATCCTTCTGAACATGAATTCTTGTAGTGATTATAGCAATCACAAAATTACATCATTTATACCTTGAAAGAAACAACAGACCTTCCATTCAGAGGGCACCTAACAAAATCGAACCTACTGGATTTAAGCCCAAATTCTAAAGGGCCTAATTTATTTTATATATTTTACATTTATGTTATGTATATTTTGCTATTATTAGCAAAACCTGGGGAATATGGTGGAAAAGATGAGGTCCAGGCAGGCGGACTGAAACGTTTTACAAACAACAGCGGCAGCAGAGCTTGGCCTTTTAGACCGCCAGGAGCAGGTGTTCTTTTCAGCCTTTTATATTGAACAGTTATTCAAACAAAGGGCCTGGGTGCAGGGAGGGGGCGCTGGAAAAACACACTAGCTGCTTCTTAAGGAAGACAAAGGTAAACAGCAAAAAGCCTTCCAGCCAAGGGAGAAAATCCTGCTGGGCGGAGGCAGCAGCCAGTTGGTATCTTTCTAGGATTCTCTGGACTCGTGTGGAAAGCACAGAACTAAATATTGACTACACCTGCCTTCAAATGAAGTCCATCCCATCTGCCATTTTCAATTCTCACTCCTTCTAAACAACCTAGGAGCTTATGGCTATCTGGGCTTTGTCAAACTGAGCACATGTGAAGTCTTAAGTTTCAGTAAAAAATACTGGACAATTAAAATCCTTTGTGGGAATTCGCAGAGTGGAGGGGATGGGTCAGGTAGGTATTTATACTGGGTTCCTCAATTATTACATCTTTTATTGTGCTTGTTAGTCTCAAATATTTTTATTTTCTAGATGCTGAAACAAGTACACAAAGGGAAGGCACACTGCATGAGGGTTGACATAACACATTCTCACTGCTTTTCCCAAGTCAGCTTAGGGATGCAAGCAGGTGTGAGCAGTCAGACTCATCCTAGTGCAGAGACAACGTCTGAAAGAGATGAGCAGTTGGCAAGGGCTCTATGAATAATTGAAGGGAATTCTGGGTACAGATTCTTTGTGTGGTCCCCACATCTCAATAGCTACCAACTATAAAACTGTTTCTCACTAGCCTGGCCTTCTGTAGAAAGCCCGTGGATGAGAGGATAAGAATCAAAGGGGGAAAGAGAAGAGAGGCAAAAGGTGCTCAAAAGGATGTGGCCGCACCTTGCACATCATTCGGGATTAGGAATTAGCCGAGGAATGCTCTTACCATCACTGGAACCAAAACTCCCATCAATGGATTTCCTCTGGAACCTGCAAGCAAGCATAGATACAAACACATCTGTATACACACCTGTCCACATCTGTATACACACCTGTCCACATCTGTATATACACCTGTCCACATCCTCTTAAGATTCAGCATTTTCCACTAACTTCCTATACATTCCATTGAAAATTTGTCTTCCACGATCACTTAAAAATGGCCTTTGGAGAAATTACTGGCAGGACTTTAAAATGGCACAGCCACTTTGGGTGATAGTTTGGCAAGTCCTCAGAGAGCCAAACAGACTGATCATATGGCCCAGTGAGTCCATTCTCAGGCATGTACATTGTTTATTAACATTCACTTATTTTCAGATATAAACTTAACATCACAACATGTGTCTTTCAAACACACAATTCAGTATGTTTTAATATATTCAAATACTTACGCAGTTGTCATCATGATCTAATTTTAGAATATTTTGTGCCTTCACCCCAAAGAGCAGTGTCTGTTACACTTAACTCTCCCTTCTCCGCCGTCCCCTAGCCGTTTTTCATCTGCTTTCTGTCTTTGCAAATTTACCTCTTCTAGACAATTTATATAAATGAAACCATTGTACACATGAACTTTTTTGAATGATTTCCTTGATATAGCACATTTTAAAGGTTAATCCATACTGTAGCATGTATTGGTGCTTCAATGTGTGTGTGTGTGTGTGTGTGTGTGTGTATATATATATATATATATATATTCCAGTGTTTGTGTGTACTGTATTTTATTTGTTTTCCCTCGATGAGTACTTCCTATTGTTTCTGTTTGCTGTGCAGTAAAACAACACCGCGATGACCACTTGTGTTCATGTTTTTTTTCTATAGATACATCTTCACTTCTCCTGAGTATGTAAGTAGGGGAAGCCTGAGGCTACTCTGTGTTTTACTCTCCCGAACTGTTTTCCACAAGGACTGTAGAGAAAGCACCATTTCACATTCCACAGCCAAAGATTCCCACTTTTTTTCTACAACTCTGCCAAGTCTCATCTTCTATTTAAAAGTTTGTATTATGTCAAACCTTTGGAGTTGGACACGTCAATGCAGCTTTGATTTGCATTTCCCTGAGAACTATTGATGAATGGCTGCTCACATGCTTGTTGGTCATCCATGCATCTTCTTTGAAGTATCTGTTTAAATCTTTCACCCATTTTTTTTAACAATTTAATTTTTTAAACTTATGTGTATGTGTGTTTGTCTGAGTCCAGGTATGTGCACATGAGTGCAATGTCCACGGGGGCCAGAAGAGGGCGCTGGATCCTCTGAATCTAGAGTTAACAGGTGGTTGTGAGCCCCTGAACAAACTGGTGCTGGAAATTAAACTTGGGCCCTTTGGAGGAGCTGGAAGTCCTCTTAACTTCTGAGCTATCTCTTCAGCCTCTTAACCCGCTTTTAAATGATCTCTTTCTATTGCTGAGTTGTAACAATTTTTAGTATTGTCTAGATACTAACCACTTACTAGATTAGCTATATGATTTGCAATGTTTGTATCCCACATTGTGGACAACAGTATTACCTTATTGGATGGGATTGTTGAAGCATAGAGTGTTTCATTGCTCATTAAGTTCAATTTAAACATTTTTTATTGTACTTTTGGTGAGTAAGAAAGAATTACCTAATCCAAGACCATAATTTACACCCATATTTTCTCTTTAGAGTTCTATGGTTCTAGCTTTTAAACTTAGGTTTTTGATCCACGTTTGAATTAACATCTGTGTATGGTATGAGGTAGGAGCCAGCATCACTATTTCTTTTGTCATGTGACATCTAGTTTTAATAGCACCACATGTTGGAAGAAACAGCTTTTCTCTACTGAACTGTTTTGAAGAACACTGACCATTAAGAAAGAGGTTATTCACAGAGTTGTCATGAGAGCCCAATGGGCAGCAGCATTTGCTGCTGAGCCCAGAAACTTGAGTTTGGTCCCTTGGAAGCCAGGTCGTGGAGGGAGAGAAACACCTCCATAACTCCCACAAGTTATCCTCTGAGCTCCACATGTGTGACTTGTGCCCAGGCATGTGTGTGCATGCATGCACATGCACACTCAAAATATAAACATTTTCCCAGAAGAGTTTGTTTGTGTCCTCCCTCCTCTAGCCCACGGGGCTGTCAGCTGCAGAGTCTTGATTGTCAAGGCCTTGGAATAAGCTCTGATATCAGGAAGTGTCAAGTCCTCTAAATTTTGTTATTTTAATTCAAGATTTGGTTGTGTATTCTCGCTATATAGCAAAGGAAACAGTTAACCAAGCGAAGAGGCTGCCTATAGAATGGAATAAAACCTTGACCGGCTATACAAACGATGGAGGATTAGTATCTAAAATAAAAAAGAATAAATAAAAGAAAGAGAACGATGCAAACAACCAATCAACCCAATCAATAAATGGGCTAATTAAATGAACAGGCAGTTCTCCAGAGTGAAGATACAAATGGTCAATAAACACTAAAAAAACCAAAAAAAAAACCCAAAAAAACCCCAAAACAAAACAAAGCAAACAAACAAACAAACAAACAAAAAAAAACAAAACAAAACTCAGCCTCAGTAGTCATGAGAGAAATCCAAACCAAAACACATTGAGTTTTCACCTGACAAAGTCATCAAGAAAACAAGCTGGGTGGTGGTGGTGGTGTATGACTTAATCTCAGCACTTGGGAGGCAGAGGCACACCAATCTCTGTGAGTTTGAGGACAGCCTGGTCTACAGAGGGAGTTCCAGGACAGTAAGGACGGCATGGAGAAACCCTGTCTTGAAAAATAAAAAGAAAAAAAGAAAAAGAAAAGGAAAGAGTAATAACAAATACTGGAAAAGCGCTGGACAAGGGAAATCATTATACCCTGCAGGGGGCTGAAATAAAGCAGCCCCGCCACTGTGGCGTCATCATGGAGGCTTCTCAAAAAACTGAACAAACAATTCTATCGACCCAATGACCCACCCTTGCCATTCCAAGTCTGTGTGTCCCAGAAACACCCTCATACCAGTCTTTATTGCTGCACTGTTCAAAATAACTTAGTTACAGAGTCAACCTAGGTGTCGAACAATGGAGGAACGGATAAAAAAATTATGAAATAACTTAGTTACAGAGTCAACCTAGGTGTCGAACAACGGTGGAACGGATAAAAAAATTATGACATATATACACAATGAAGAATGAAGTTATGCCATTTACAGGAAATGGATGCAATTGAAAATAATTATATTAAGTGAATTAAGCCACTCTCAGAAGGACACATAGCCTCTATTTTTTCACTTGTGGTCACCAGACTTGAGTAGATACAGAAAATAACATACGCGTAAATGAAAAGCTCTTGGCTATTCCGTGTCTTTTGCATCTTCATGTGTGTTTTAGGATGAATTTGCTAACTTCTATTTTGTTTTGTTTTGTTTTTTAAAAAATAAGTTGGTACTTGATAGGAATCAGCCAGACTATTCCATCCAGAAGGATGCTGTGGGGAAGGTCTTTCTGAAAAAAATTATAATTTATAATATAATATATTTAGAGTCATGAACTTTACCCATGCTTGAATTAGTTCCCTGGAACTTGTAGAGTTTTTCATGAGAGGAGTTAAGTAATTTTCACAGCTAAGGTGAGGAAGGAAATATCTAATTAGTACATTTAAAACAATAGGCGGGAGCTATGCTAGGCTGGCTGAGATGGACGCATGCACACGGACTATTAGTCTGGAAACTGGGCTAGCCTCATGACCCATTCATCCTCCAGGAGGTAAGGGGGAATACCTCTGAGCCTGTAACCTGAGGCTTGCACTTGTGTGCTTTCCTGAGGTCCCACAATCCCAGGCTGGCCTGCTGGAGTATTGAGACCGAGTGCTACTGAGGCCATTCTAGGATTGACAGTTTCTTCGACCTGCCAGCAGGTCACATTTCGTGACCACATCTAGCTGAGATTCCTGAGCCCAACTGGGATAAGACTAAGTCTCTGGATTGTATACTATGAAGACATGAATTGATGGTTTGTGTTGTTGTTTTTTTTTTCTCAAAGAAGTCATTTTTCTAGACATGTCATTTGGAGCTATCAATCAAAACAGAACCATTCGCTGACCCGTGGTCTTCCGCAACTGCTGTAGACTGTACATTTACAGTGACAACATGGCAGTGGGTTAAAGAATCAATGATAAGGATAAGTCCCCAGTACTGGGAGGTCAGACTTAAGAGAGTGTCGGGGGGCAGGGGTGATAAAAAAAAAAGAACACATATTCAGTGCTTGACGAAGCCTGCACATCCACGGCAGGGTGATGATACAAGCTGAGACAGGAAGGACGTGGGAAGGAGAGGGTATTTGTGTGACCCTTGGGAAAGCGCTTAGCTCCCCAAGACCTAGGGTCATGTCCTACAAGTGTTTCTTCTGGACTCATAGTGTGGGCTATAAATCCCACGTGTGTTAATAATAAAACATAAGGGCCCACCGAGCAACGGCATTAGGCTAAGAGAGCTTCACAGAGTGGAGTGGAAATCTTTGCTTCACTCAGCCCAGTGGAGGAAAGGTTCTCTTAGCATTTTCCCTCAGTCTATCCCCTGTTTAGAATGCCAAATGGCTCTGTGTCTCCAGGTTTCTATTTCTGTTTGTCTATATCTGGAAAGTGTCTACGCTTGTGCACTTGACGGTGGCAAAGTCATCTGCTGCGAACTTTCAAGCACAACGTTAGAGACTCTGCTCCCTTCAGCTGCCGAACAACAGCTTTGGAGGTGGTGGCAAACCGCGAGCCATTAGCTCCCATTTCATCTCTTTCCGGGTTGATGGCACATGGTAGCTGGCTAAAGAGAAATAATTCTGTTTCCTCAACCTAAAACATAGGAAGGAAGCCTTGCTGAGAGGCAGAATATTGGCTCTTTACTGGGACACTGGAACTGCGTGAGGCAAAACGGGAATGTTTTGGGCCCTCGTAGAATGATAGCCTTCTGAGGTATAGGCTGATGGTCACATTTCATTGGCCCGGACTGTCATCGGTCACATGCATATGCCAAGACCCACTTTGATTGAGCCAGGCTGCCTGAGCTCAGATCCTAACTCCTTCAGGGACTGGCTGTGAATCCTTGATCAAATGGCTTCACCTCTCTGAGCTTCAATTTCATTAAGCTTCCACATATTAACAATCACAGTAGTCCAGTGATAGTGGCTGGGGCATCAGATGAGATCCCCTGAGGGCTCAGCACAGTGTCAGATAGATAGGCAGATATATTCAACACGTTAGAAGTAGTAACCTTTAGAGTAAACTGGTACCCTTCGTGTATGTACTTTCCAGATATGAGATTTGCCTACATCCCAAGCTTTTGTTTTCAACACTTTTTCCCCGCTTAAAGTCAGGATGTAGTTCATTTAGTCTCAAACAGACTATGTAGCCAAAGACAAATGACTTTGAACTCCCGATCCTCCTGCCTCCAACTCCTGAGTGCTGAGCACTGGGATCAAACAGGTACCACCATGTCTAGCTCTGTTTTTAACTTTATATTTTAAAATAATTTTAAATTTACAAAGCTGTTTCAAGGATGAATAGAGAAATGGGATATAGCCTATCTACCAATACATCCTTTACCTAGATTCCCTACTGTTAGCTTTTCTGGTCCCCCCAACTCTCTCTCCTTCTCTCCCTCCTTCTCTCTGCCTGCCTCCCCTCCCTCTCTCCTTCCCTCCCTCCCTCCCTCCCTCCCTTCCTTCCTTCCTTCCTTCCTTCTTGGAAAGGATCTCACCCAGTAGCTCAGACTGACCTGGAATAATTCACAATCCTCTTGCCTGGTGTTAGCGCTCTCTCTCTCCCGTCCTCTCCTCTCATCTCCTAAATGTTTACCATGTATTCGTCTACATATATGTTAATTTATAGTATGTGGTCATCTACATGTATATTAAATATCTAACATTTGTCATCTATATGCATATTAACTTTTCTGTGCCATTTGAAAGTCATTTGAAGTTGTTATAGATTTTACCCTCAATATTTCTGTAGAGTGAGGAAAATATCAAATTCTTTCAATTCTGGGTATTGAGTCTAGGGCTTTGTGTATGTTAGCAAGCACTCTGCCACTGAGTTATACCCCATCCCACTGCTTCCTTTTGGTTTGGAGGCAGGGTCTCCACAAATCGTCCAGGCTGGTCTTGAATCTCTCTGTAGCTCCGGCTGACCTTGAATTCAAGATCTTCCTCCTTTATACCCAGAGTAGCTGGGACTACAGGATCTTTCCTCTACTGTTTGTCTCTAATTTCAACTGGCCTAAAACTATCCTTTATGGCATGCTTTTTCATTTGGTGCCAGAGCCAATCTGAGGTCAAGTGTTGGCTTAGTTTCATGCCTATCAACTCCTCTGAGCACATCCCTTGCCTTCCCTTTCGCTCCTTTTACCACAGGTTTTGTACCTAATGTTTCCACTTGATTAGATTCAAAATCTACATTGATAGGAAGCTACAAGGAGTAAGCTGTGTCCCTCTCAGGGTGGCATCACATCTGGAGGCACACATTGCTGACCTTGATAGCATTTATGTTGATTGATAGGTCAGTGTATTTTATTTCCCCACTAAGTACTTATTAATTTTTCCCACATGGCTTAGCAGCTTAGAAAGCCACACAAACAACCTGTTCCTCGTCTGACTCCCCACCTCAATTTAGCATTCACTGGTGACTTTGCTTTCCTCTTTTTAGCTGTTGGGGTTGCAGCTAAGGTTTAGCATGTGCCAGGCAACTGGTCTACCATGGAGCCACAGCCACGGACTGTTTTGGTTTTTTAACTTTTCATTTTGAGGCAGGGTCTCACTAAGTGGCTCGGGCTAATAAGACTCACTCTGTAGCTCAGGTAGCTCCTGAGTAACTGAGAGGACAGGCTGTGCCACCAGACCTGGACCTATAGACGAGTCTTAACCTGAGCTACTGTTAGCTGTGATGTTTGCAAATGATTTTCCAACCCCAGCACTTTCTCTGTTTACTAGTCAGCTCTTGGTCTGCTATAGGCGAGATACATTCATTTTAGCATCAGTATTTGCTGGGAATGCCTTTCTCTGTTGGACAGCTGTTGTTCTAGATTTGTTGAATTCACTGGATTTTTATTTCTTCCTAAATTTCCATTTTTTCAAATGATTTATAATGCATAAATTCTTAACTATTTTGGTGCTTAAATCCACTCAGGTTTGGCTGGCGGTGGACCTGTATTTGTTTAGGTTTTCAGTTGTGCTGCAGCTAGGACCCAAGACCCGTACACACTAGGGAAGCGCTTAGCACGAAGTCCCATTCCTGCCCTTGGTTTCCTGAGATAGGGTCTCCATGCTGTAGCTCAGGTTGGCCTTGAACTCTCTGTGTAGTTACTTCCCAGAAGTAGTAGTGACACTTCCCAGTCTCCTCTCCCTCCTGAGTGTTGGGGTGTTAGGCATGCTCCCAGGAAGGGAGTGGGGGATTTTGAAGGCAGTGTCTCAACGCAAAGGTTTTCTGAGAGTGTAGAAGAGAGTTGTTTCCGGTCTTGGCTACAGAGATTGCTGTGTCAATGAGTTCTTCTCACAGCTGGTGTGCGCCTTGCCTTGTGCGCATGGCTCCTTCTGCCTTTCTATTTTCTTTCTTTCCGTGCTTAAATCATTTGTTTATTGGAAGTCTCCTGCCATGCTTTTGTAGTTGTTTCTCAGAAAGCATAACAGAAACAGAATCCTCAAAGCTCAGTCCAGCTGAGAGAGGCAAAAAGTGTTATAACATTTTATTTATTTGCTTATGTTTTTAACCAGGGGCTTCAAATTCTTAGGAAGGGGAATTTCTTTGATCGAATTGCAACATAGTTACTTCTCCCTTTTCTACAGAAGGAACGTTTCTCTGGGAAATTTGTGCACCTGGTAATATGTGTCAAAGCACATCACTCCTGCTACCGACTGTACCTTGAGGTTTATTTAGGCGTTATACTTACCCTCTACAGAATGCTTAAGTCTGTTTCTAGACTCTATGCTGGGAAAAGCTGATGATTTCCTACAGTCGGTGTGATTGACAGCGAATATTCTCAGGCATAAAAACAATCTAGTTGCTTCATTGAGAACATTCGCTGTAAATCACAGGAGAAAGGTCACGTCCTTTCCAGTGGAGAAGGAAGGCTGCTGTGGCATGACGTTTGTGTCAGTTAGTGCTCCTAAAATGCACCCAATGCTGCATAGTGAAAACCCTACCAGCCTGCTATGTGGAACGTTGACTTCAGATCTGCAAGTGAGCCAATTATCACCTCATTTCACAGACAAAAAAACCTTAAGTACGGGTACAAGAGGACAGGCAGCTTGCCTGAGATCTCAGTTAGTGACCAGCCAACGTGTTCTCACGCCAGCGCTCTAAGCATCACGTGGAGAGACCAAGGAGATGAAGACACCATGGACCTACCTGACATGATGAAATAAGACAGCGAGCAGGTATCCCATATAGAAACCCAAGAAGATGAAGACACTGAAGAGACTGGATTTCACATACACAGATCCTGGGGAGAAAGAAGCAGCTTCAGCCAGCTTGCCCGTGGGAACAGGACTATATTGGGAACAGCACAGCTTAACGAATCAGCAGCCATCATATCCATTCTTAAGTCCCAATAAGATTTTCACTGAAGGTGCAAAACTATGGGAGGCCACCCCATGGTATCCACAAGCAGCTTCCTTGGAAGCAGGGGTGGGGTGGGGTGGGGTGGGAGCAGGGGTGAGGGGAGATAGTATACAAGTCTAGAATTGAGTCTCTTTTTTTCTCCTTCTTCCCTCATTTCCTTTATTTCCCCTTCTCTCCCCTCTTCTTTCCCTTCCCCCATCCCTCTCTCTCTCTATCACCCCCCCCCCACCCCCACTCTTTTCTAGGCTGGAGGACCTCATGCAAGTTAGGCAAGCACTCTGCCGCCAAACCACACCCCTAGCCTGCCTCTTCCTCTTCAGAAAGATGTAGTTCTAGCTCTAAGTTAAATAGGCTTTAGTATTCTTAGGCTGGCTCCGTTTGAGTGGAAGATTAATATCTAATTACATGACAGATCTCCTAACACAAGAATCTCTCCACCATACTCCAGAGCCAAAACCAACCTTCGATAGATGGGACAATGGTCACTTCCAGGTTCTTTGATCGTTGTAGATTCCAGGTCTGATTTTCATTTTCTGGTAAAAACAACAACAACAACAAAAACCCCAGATAAACAAACAACGACAAAACAAAACAAGACCACAACAAGGCACAAAGCACAGCGACTCAGATATTAGTCTCTCACCCTCCACCCAGAATGGCTGTGCTATACGACAACCAGAATCCGCTCTGACCGCTGAACAACAGCTGGAGCAAAAGCCATCTGACACCTCCGGGCTCCCTCCGGCTAAGACTCTCAGACTGGCCCTTGGTTGGTTGCATTTTAGGAGCACTAACTGACACAAACGTCATGCCACAGCAGCCTTCCTTCTCCATTGGAAAAGACGTGACTTTTCTCCTGATGTCCACAAACATCTCAAGAAAAATGTGCCCCGAACAGACAGCTATGTCCCCTTTAGCTTTCATTTTTCCTAGCCAGTGAAAATCTGTTTGTTTGTTTGTTTTTAACATAATCATCAAAGGCTCTAGAGGTTATCAAGGAACATTAGACACTGGCAAACCTATAGAACTACACAATTAAGAGAAAGGCACACACAAGCAGAAATGTCACCTGACCCCAAGGGAGCCTCTGTGTTGGTGACATATGACTCAATGGCAAAGGGTCTGTGTTCTCAATTAATGGTCTATTCTCTCTGGGCAACACAA